GGAGGTAATGGTTCGGGGCCCGAGAAAAATTCAAGTCGAGCAAGGCGAACAAGCAGAACAGACATCGTGTTTCGACTCGTGCAAAGTCCCCTGAGCTCTAAAGAAGTTGTACGAGTCGACCGATCTAGTTGAACTCGAATCGAGCCGATCTCGTGGAGTTCCTGCCACAACTCTACTGAATCAGTCCTGCGGCGTACCGCGGGCCACGGTATTCAAGCATGGCCCGCAAAGTGCATGAAGCGTACTTGGTGCCTTGCGGAGTCATTGCTGGATGCTCGTTGGCCATATCCCACGTCGTTGTTGCCGATCGCAAAAAATCCTCTCCACGCACCGCGCTGAACAATTGTATCGACGATTACGGCGCATCTTCAGATGGACCGGCAAGGCACGAGGCGGCGCACTTGCGCCTGGGATCACCTCTGCGCCGAGTCCGCCTGTGAACCATGGAATGGACGATGCCTCTGGCACAAAAGCAGAAGAGAAAACGACTGGGGACAGAACAAAAGCCGTGGGGCTCACGAGGGTCGAGAAAAGCGCTGGGATCTCGTGGTCGGCAGGCACGAACGCGGGCCCGTCGGCAGAGCGCGCCGCGGGCCCGAGGCGCGCGGAGCTGCGGACGACCACGAGCCAGGATGTACCAGCCGACGCTCAGGACCTGCGCTGCGACCTACGACAGGGTCGCGCTCCTCGATGCCACTCTTGCGGCTGCACGGGGGCCCATCCTGGTTCGGAGCAGTCTCACCAACAGTTAGGCATGCCGGAACGATCTTTGCCAACGAATTGAAGCTGTACCCGGAGCGCACTGGGTGGGAGGGGGGCAGGGGGGGGAAGGGGCGGGGCCATAACGCCCGTCATGCCCCAAGCAATAAATAAACACGCTCCAATGTGCAGATCGGCGCTCTGCTAAATTGCCTCATAGCATATGCACTCACTGCTCCTCCCCTCATTCGCAGAGCGCTGCTGTGCTAATTGGCCTCAAAGCAGGGTTCCCCATCCTGCTCGGAGTTATGCGCTTAGCAGAGCGCCGCTCTGCGAATTGGCCTCAGAGCATGTGCGCGATCATTGCTTCTCCTCTCATGAGCAAAGCACCGCTCTGCTAATTTGGCATAGCGCATGCGCACCCGCTGGCCATCCTGTATTCACCCGAGGGCCCCAAAACGGCCAAGAGGGCCCCCAAGAAGCGCCCAAGAAGGTCCGAGAGGCCTCCAAAACGACCCAAGAGCGCTCCAAGACGCCCAGGATGGCCCCAAGACAGCCCAAGAGGCCCCACATAAGCTCCAAGAGCGCTCCAAGAGGACCTCAAAAAGGGCCCCACGATGCAACAATCACGCATGTTCCTGGTGTGTTGTTCAATGTGTTTCGCTTTCTGGCGTTTTTGGGCTTCCGAGGCTCCAAGATGGCCCCAGAGGCCCCAAACACCGCTCCAAGAGGCCCCAACCAAGCCCCCAAAAAGACCCCAAGACAGCCCCACAACGGCCCAAGAGGCGTCCAAGACGGCCCAAGAGAGCCTCAAAGCTGCCCCAAGAAGGGCCCAAGAGGGGGAACACGACAATTCAAGCCTTCCGCCCCAAGAAGACCCCAGGAGGCCTCCTGGGGGCTCCAAGAGACGCCCAAGAGGCCCCCAAGAGGCCTCACGAGGCCCCTACGAGGCCTTCAAACGGCCCTCAGGCGGATTTAAAACTGCACGCAAAAGACCATCGAGAGGCCTCACACGATATCCCCACGAACATCCAGGAGCCTCTAATCCACAACCCAGGCACGGTGGTGTGATGGGCCGAAGCCCACCAGAAAATTACTTGAACCAAGATAGTGAACGTGAGCCATGAAAGCATCACACAATTCAAGGACGAGCCTTTTATAGTTTGCTGCGGAGGCTTAATATCCAGTACGTTTTCGTGCTGCGAGAAGGACTGCATCAAGTCCTTGACGTGCTGGGCGATGTGGACCAAGGATCGAACGATTCAGTAGGGTTACGAGCTGTCATCACCTGAATGCCCTCTGTGCCTGTGCGATCTGTTCGAGGATGGCACATGCTCGGTCAATGCCCGCACAGCAAGGAAGCGAGAGACGAGTTGGTCGACCAAAAGATCATCGGCTCAGCGCTCCCCATCGATTTCGAGAATGCCAAGAAGCTGCACTATTCAACAAGGGGAATCTTTCAACATCCAGGAAATTACCTACCGAGTCCTCGACATGAAGGGGATATCAGACTACACCATCAGCACGAGGGCCGCAAAGAGGAACAGTGAGAGGTCTCTGGGGCGGTGTTCATGACGGTTCGTTCACGAGGCACCCGATTAAGGAGCTCAGTAGGGCCTCGTTGGGAGATGTTCAGGTCACCCACAAGGAGTCTCGGGAGCTCTGTTCGGTGTCGCGGCCTGTCTGGGGGCCCATGCCCTAACCGCCTCAAGCAAGCGAGGTTGCGGGCCCGGAAATGACGGCCAACCCCTTGGCTGACTGGGCCCATAGGTTCTCGGACTGCAAAAGCGTTGTGGACTTACCTCATATGCCTGTTGTCAAGGGGTTCTCATACACGCGTATGTTATGCATGCTGGCACCACGTCTCTCTCCCAATCGCAATTTTGGGGCACACGCCGCGGACCAGCCCTGCCTCACGGACCGCCAGCAGCGGGATAACCGTGGCAGTGGCGCAGCCCGCACTGCTGCGAAGGCGGCGGTCAGCGCACATCCCCAGGGATCCCCAGCGGATCGGGAGGAAGCTTCGAGGCACAGCAGCATCTCAAGCGCTGTGGTTCTCCCGGCGGTCCGCCGGCTGCCCCAGGTGGCTCCCGTTGGACGTCAGGGATTTGTCCTTGGTCCCGTCGGGGGCCCGAGCCCAGAGCCCACCCCCTCTAGGGGGAAAACAAACCTGCCTCGCTTTTGACCACCCTCGCTTCCAAGAGACACCAAGCGATGCCAAACTACGGCCTGTACTGGTCAGGCCGCTTGACGAGGAGGCGCGTGGCATGACTTGGTTTTGCCTGGGAGCGAAAGCGGGGTAGGTAGTTCACGCTCTGACCCTCCCTGGGACCACGCTGCACTCGTGGAAAGGGTGTCGCAATAGTCTTCCCCCGGCGGGACCGGAGCTGGCGCGAAGGACAGCCGAGGAGCGTCCAGTGCCAAGACCGCTGCCCTTCGTGGGGGCCATCCCCACGACCTCCAACAGCAGAGCGCTTCATCAACCACGGAAATACTAGGCTACGCCCCTCAAGATGCGACGCCTTTTGTTGCATGTCCCGTGCGAGCGATCCACGAACGAGGCGACGTCGCCCCAGCGGAGGGCTGCACGGGTGAGATTCCGCCTGCGTTGCAGGGAGTCGCCTCCAGAGATCGCGGACTCCTCGAATTGCAGTGCTCAGACAAATGGCTCCCTTTTGGTGGTGTGCAATGCAAGATCATCGCACGTACGGATCATCGCATTGTGCGTGCGGAGGGATGCGGGCACACCACTTGCATGAGGAATGAGAGGAAGAGGTACAGAGTCCTCGAGGGCAAGCACCCCAAACGAGATCGAGTGGTGCTTGATGTTTTTCCTGCTGAGTGAGTGTGGCAGGCGCGGTCAATGATCAGATCCCTGCTCCCTCTTCATCCTCGTCCCTCCTCCTTCCCACCCCGTTTTCCTCATCCTCCTCCTCCTTCCTCCTCCTTCCTCTGCCCCCCTCCCTCCTCTTTGCTGCTCGGTTCATGATCCCGGTGGACGTGCAACTTTCCAAAGCGGCATGTGCGCCAAGGTACCTGGTGCTCTCAACGAGCGAGGAGCGCCAAGCCTCAACTCGCTATTGAGCTGTAAAGCGATCAGAAAAAGATGCTGCATAGCATTGCTACGCTCCCTCCAGTTTGGTATGACAATCTGTACGTGCCAAAGCGGCATCTGCGCTAAGATCCCATGTTGCTCTCACAGCATCCGGTGACAGCCTTGCACAGGGAAGAACACCAAGCCTCACCGCGCTGTTGAGCTGTAAAGCAACAGTTGAAAGACATGTCCTATCATTGCGGTGTTTCCTCCAGTGTGCGACTAATTGGGCCAGATCAGCGAATCAGAAGCTGAGCCAGATGAACGAATCAGGAGCTGCCCACTGCATCGCTCACAAGACAAACAACTTTGACTCTACGTCAAACTTGGGTGCGCAAATCATTCGCAATGCTGGTCCTGCGCGGCATCAATACGGCATAGGCAGGGCAGCTCCTTGTACGGCGCAGCACGAGCATCACATTGAGCGTTAGGAAATACTTTGACGATAAGGTGTGCCATTCGTTTCACGTGAAGCCAGCCGAAGCCAATTTGCTACGCTATGTAGCTATGCCGAACAAAGACATCGGTACAACTGTTCCGAAACCGATCTCACTCCGGCAACCGCCGTCGCCACGGATCGTGAGCCGCGCTTCGGTGCCTTCCCCAGGCACCGAGTCGAGCGTCAGATCGTCGCCGAAAAATCTAGCGTACAAGCGCGACTTCGGTAATCCAACACCGAAACCTGCCAACTCGGTACCGCTGCTTGCTGGCTCATCGCCGTCGCCGGCAATCTGAGGAGAGCATTTCGGCTCCATCGTCGTGTGGAGAAACCGCCACGCATCCTGCAGCCGCGCGCCGGTCATGCCTCCCGCATTGTCGCGCACGGAGATGGTGGCGCCAGACTGGTGGTGATCTACTCTGACCACCACGGGGGGCAGGGGCGATCCCGCGTGACGCTTCACCGTGGCGTGGCAGGCGTTCTTGGTCACCTCCAGAAGAAGAAACGTCTACACGAGCAGAAACTTCCAGAGGTCCGCACGGACTCTTGGATCGGCTTTGTGCCTCCCTCCCCGGCGCCAGAGGCGCCGCCGGGGGGGCTCCAGCGCAGATCCAAGAAATCCGCGCGGCCTTCCGAAACAAGATGTCTATGCAAAAAACTTGCCATCGCTCGGACGTCCATTCTCCGTGCATCTTTCGGCTTCCGCAAGCTGGCCCAACGTGGTCATCGATGGTCCTCGTCGAGGAAGACGCACACGTCCGAGCGGTGTCAGGAGATCTGTGCTCTTCGAACCTCGTTGAGCATGTAGAGCAGGTACCCTGGGATGAGCGCGTAGCTCTCGCTGCCCTCCTCCTGCTGACACTTCAAAGATGGGGCCCTGATTTAGCAGGGACCGACCGTCCCGGCATTCCTATAGTCCTACCACGAAATGTTCTTAGAACCCCAAAATGTTTCAAGAACCAAAAAAGTTCTTAGAACATGAACCCGATGTGTTAAAACAAGACAGTCCCAGCCAGAAATATTATACGATCATTTCGTGGACACCACAAAAGGTTCTTAGAACATTGTTCGGTAGGGATGTAGGCGAGCCAAGACGCTTCGCCACTGCTTGAGCTGAGACGTGGGATCGCAGGGCGAGGAGGCCTTCAACAGTGCAGCTTCAACCTGGAAGCCTTTTCCTGCGGCATGTTCGTGCCGTGACGACCCTGGCGCTGGTTTCTGACACCGCGGGGATCGTTCAACCCTGAACGGCGGTTGTTTTCTGTCGCCAGGTCGTTCCATATTGGCCGATCTTGTTCGGTGGCAACCCATGGAAACCTCCCATGCCAAATTAGCGGCTCTTGCGAATCGACGCTGGTCGACGCTAAATCGACGCTCATCGACGCTGAATCGACACTGACCGATGCCGAATCGGCGCTACCTCATCGACTCCCAGACGCTGACGGACGCTAATATTAGATGCTCATTCTGGGGACCTTCCTGGAGCCACTCGCTCCACTCGTGCGTCGAAGCTGCGTCGAAGCTGCGTCGAACCTGCGCAGAACCTGAGTCGAACCTGAGTCTAATCTGAGTCGAATCTGAGTCGAACCTGCGTCGAACCTGAGTCGAACCTGAGTCGAACAGATCCGTTGGGTGGGCCCCAGGAAGGTCCCAGAAACGAACATCGAACTAATCGACGCTGGCATGATTTGCCACGGAAGTTTTGGACCGCTGGCGGCGTTCCATCTCGAACGCTCGCGTTCGGGTCGCCACCGCGGCTTCGACACCGCGCGAACCTGCCGCATCCGCAAGGTCCCACCATTCCCATCCTCAGGGTCCCACCATCTCGGGTCGGACGAGAAGGGGGGGGGGTCAGCGAGAGGAGGACAGCGAATCAGCTCGCGCAGCCGATTTTCCCGGCGCCTCCCCGCGCAGCAGGCGCCAGTGTATCGAGGGGAGCGCCCGGCGGCGGGGCCGGAACCAGCTGCCCGCAACAACTGTGGTGCCCCGCCCTTCTTCTCATTCTCCACCCCTCTCGTCCGACCCGAATGATCCACGTCGTCCGGCTTTCGGGTCATGGCTCGGGTCTCAGCAGGCCGTTCGGGACGACCTGGGCGCCCTGGTGGAGACTATCTCGAGGCTGGAAAACCGCTGAGGACCTACAAGACCGCCGAAAACCGAGATGGCGAGCGGGCAGGAGCGGAGTGACCCCCCGAGCCCTTTCCATATCCCCGCCATCCGGCTACACGCAAGAGAGACCCTATGCAAGAGTGACCTTTGGTGCGCGGCAAGACGGGGAACGAGGGGTGGCCAAACCTGGGCACGCAAGAAGCCGCTGCCGCTTCGCGTTCAGCAATCGGGGGATCCCATCGGGCACGCACCAAGGGGCACTCAAGCGAAAGGTTCCTCTTACGTCTCGTCGACCCTTCGTCCGACCCGACCATCCCTACGACTCGGGTTCGTACGACTCGGGTTGGCCTGACGGGGTCATCATGAAAATGACGAGACCCAGTCTGAAATCTGACGCGAGCTCCCGCTGCAAACATCCCACGAAAACTGGACTGTCGAAATCCAGGACTCGCTCGTGACAAAACGTCGGCGCACCCGAGTTCCGGCATAATTACTCGATTCTTACGCTTCCCCGACTCAGGGCCTCTGGCGGAAGGTCACTCTTACGTCTAGTCGACCCAGTCGTCCGACCCGACCATCCCTCAGGGCCCCAGCTTCGAAGGTCTTGTCGACCCATTCGTCCGACCTGGCCATCCCTCAGGGCCCCACTTTCGCAACATCGGTCCTGCACCGAGACCTGTGGGGCCTCGCCGAGCTCCCGCCGGCACACCGCGGCGCACTGCCTGGCCGCCAGCCGCGCCACGTCGCCAGGCCTGCACTGCAAGTCCACGACGCCCACGCGCGACGGGTCCGGCGTCCTGCCGAACGATGGTCGGCATCGAGGGCAGCTGCAATCAAAGCGTGTAGCAAGGAGGGGGAACCCCTGACCCAGACCGAGGAGAAAACAAACCTGCGATTGTCGCTCCCGGCCGCCTTCGCGTTGCCATGGCGGCGGGCGCGTCAGGCCCTGGAGGCTGAAGACGGCCTCCAGAGTAGAAGCCGACGCAAGACCCTGGGAGGCCAACATTTGCATTTTCTGGGCGACCTGGGGCCCGCTAAAGCGACTCCTCTATTCTGGGCCCCGCCGCCCGTTCAAGTTCCATGGCTCCAGGGCCAGATTAGCGATTCAAACCCCCCATTTTCAGGCCCCGCCGCCATTCTACATCTCCTGCGCCCACGCCCAACCCCACGATCAAACTCGTCATTTCCAGGCCTCGCCGCCCGTTCGAGCTCCTTGCTTCCAGGCCAGCGTGCCCCTTTCAACTTGCAACCCTTCTGCTTCCAGGCCCCGCCGCCCGTTCACAACGCATGCTTGCAGGCCCGACCCCCCCATTCCACGTCGCACCGCCCGTTCGAAGCCCTTGCTTCCAGGCCAGGCTGCCTACTCAAGCCCCCTGCTTCCAGGCCCCGCCGCCCGTTCACACGCCCTGTTTCCAGTCGCGATCGCCCTTTTCAGTTATGGACGGGATAACAATGGAACAATGGACAGCCTCACAACCCTTATCATGGAATGAAACATGTGCTTAACATGTCGGGAACATGTTCCAAGAATTCGTAACACATGTGTTTTACATATTGAGGACATGTTTGAACCATTTCTTAGACACCTGGAAATTATTGGGCAACACGCTTCCTCTCCATGGATCGTCGTCCACAACCGCGGCGCAGTCTGTTCGGCGCCGCGTTTGCGCGGAACCAGCGGTAAAACCTTACAATGTTTGCGGCGGCAGCCATGTTGCCAGGGTGTCCCGCTGCAAGGTTACTTTGCGCCAGGGCGCCCAGCTCCGCAAAGGAAAACGTTCTGGCACGCGAACACCGATCTCCACTTCCTGGTCCCCATTTAAGCCAGGCCTGTCCTCCTACAAGGGGATTTCGGGCCAAAAATAATTACCCTGCGACGTACCCAACCCATGGGCATAAAGTGGCAATAGGAGTAGACCACCATTAGCAGGAACAACGACAGTGTATACGCGGTGAATTGCTGCGCAAATTACATGGGATGCGCATGCGTTGCACGACTCACAGGGCGACGATCGAAAGAACGAGGACTGAGGCCCCAGGCTCGAAGAATAACGGGGACAGGAGCGAGGGGCAGGAGAAGGATGAAATGGGAGGTAATCTGAATCTGCGTATGACCCCACTCCGCTGGGCCCCCCAGCAGCCCTCGAAAGTGGTGACAGTTTCGCAGGTCGCAGCCCCCCAGGGATGGCGAGGTCTAATTCGAATCTGCGTATGACCCCACTCCGTTGGGCCCCCCAGCAGCCCTCGAAAGTGGCGACAGTTTCGCAGATCGCAGCCCCCCAGGGATGGCGAGGTCTACTCTGAATCTGCGTATGACCCCACAACGCTGGGCCCCCCAGCAACCCTCGAAAGTGGTGACAGTTTCGCAGATCGCAGCCCCCCAGGGATAGCGAGGTCTAATCTGAATCTGCGTATGACCCCACTCCGCTGGACCCCCCAGCAGCCCTCGAAAGTGGTGACAGTTTCGCAGATCGCAGCCCCCCAGGGATGGTGAGGTCTAATCTGAATATGCGTATGACCCCACTCCGCTGGGCCCCCCAGCAGCCCTCGAAAGTGGCGACAGTTTCGCAGGTCGCAGCCCCCCAGGGATGGCGAGGTCTAATCAATCTGCGTATGACCCCACTCCGCTTGGCCCCCCAGCAGCCCTCGAAAGTGGTGACAGTTTCGCAGATCGCACCCCCCAGGGATGGTGAGGTCTAATCTGAATCTGCGTATGACCCCACTCCGCCGGGCCCCCCAGCAGCCCTCGAAAGTGGCGACAGCTTCGCAGATCGCAGCCCCCCAGGGATGGCGAGGTCTAATCTGAATCTGCGTATGACCCCACTCCGCTGGACCTCCCAGGAGCCCTCGAAAGTGGCGACAGCTTCGCAGATCGCAGCCCCCCAGGGGTGGCGAGGCCTAATCTGAATCTGCGTATGACCCCACTCCGCTGCCCCTCCCCCAGCAGCCCTCGAAAGTGGTGCCAGTTTCACAGATCGCAGCCCCCCAGGGGTGGCATGGTCTAATGCGAGCCTGCGTAGGGCGTCACCCCGCTGGGCCCCCCAGCAGCCCTCGAAAATGGCGACACTTTCACAGATCGCAGCCCCCCAGGGATGGCGAGGTCTAATCTGAATCTGCGTATGACGTCACTCTGCTGGGCCCCCCAGAGCGCAGAACCGAATCGAAAAATCGTCCCCGTCCTATGGTTTGACGATCTTTGAACATCCCTCCTGCAGAGGGACAGGCCCGACTTAAGTCTCCGCGCCCCCCCCGCCTGCTCCAGTCTCTCTTGCCCCCGGCGGGCCCGGCGGCGTCTCCCACCTCCTCCGCCCCCCCCCCCCCGGCTGCCGGGCCCCCGCCCCGGCGCGCCTCGCCCAAAACCGCGGCGCCCGCGGCGCAGCCCCTCGCTGTGAGGTTGCGGAGACATCCCGCGGCCCGCGACGCGCGAACGACTTTTTGTGGATGCCAAGACGCTGGACACTTCCCCCCCACTTCCCATATCTTCCCATATTCTTCGGGAAATCGACGACTAATTGTGTCTGTGTGTTCTTGCTCCCCCCTGATACTCCCCCCCACACGCAGGCGAGAAACGTCCACATCCAGCGCTCTGCGAGGCCTGCGAGGCCGCCAGGGGCACCTCTGCGCAGGCCAGCGGCTATGACACTGGACATTCTAACAATCCGATCATTGGACTAAAGATGTGTTTAAGCTTTGTGAAACATGTTCTAAACATGTTCCACATTTTTTGTAAACATTTAACACACGTTTGACACATATTTTAGACATCTGGAAATCATTTGGCAGTATGCTTCCTTTCCATTCATCGACTTCCACAAGAATAACTTCGCGCCTCGCTCCGAGATCGCCCAGACCGCGAAGCACGACGAGCTTCGCACCCTGGTGGCCCTGGCGGCCGAAACCAAAACCTCCAGCGAATTGCGAGAACTACGACGGAGGTGCTTCATAATTTCACGCCTCTGGGAGCCCAAGACCGTCTGAAGACGACTCGGTGCGAAAGAAAAAAACCCGGGATGTGGCCCGGAGCTCCAGGGACCACGCATTAAAAAAAGATCAAGACGTCGGAGGTCTGGGGACTTCGGGGGAACGGAACCAACCGCAAGGACACGCCGCCGCGGGAGGCCATCCGCGAATTACTGCCGACGGAACACCGGGCCTTCGGACGAAACTAGGGAGCCCACAAAGGACGTACGCGCCCAGCTATGTACATGAACACGGCCCCTCGATTCGCGAGACCGGCCGCGTTATACGAACATTTGTGCAATGCGTGCTCTCGAAACCAGCGCGGATTCATGTACATGTACGTCCTTCTTTCGCTGCCGATGAAACAAACGACGAAGCAGCACGCTGACATGCCTCCCATGGCGCCGTGTCGCTGGATCTCCCCGCCCCTCCCGGGACTCCAAAAATGGCGGATCGGATCGGAGCGGGCGTCGCATCGGGCTGCACCGGCGCGGGGTCGAGGCCGAGTCGCACCGGCCGCGCCAGGAGGCACAGCGGCGCCGTGCCAGCACCGGCATCGCACCGGATCGGGACGTCGGGGTCGAGCCGGATCGGGCGGGCCAAGACCGATATCGACATCGAATCGGACTGATCGGGTCACACATGGGCGCCAGGGCTGAACCTGCACGGTGCTTTTTCCGCTTCCGATCTGTGTTCGTCGTCCCTCGTCCTGTCCCTTGCGTCCGCCTTCCACGCACAGCGAAGTCGAGACGACAACGGGCCACGAAAGCGCCAGAACGCCGTGTGGGTCCACCCCGGAGGGACGCCGTCCTGGCGGACTGCGTGTAGTGGGCCATCAGCACCTTGGTGCCCACGCGGCTGCCGACCGCGTGGTGGAGGATCTCGTCGAGGTGGGCCCTCGCCTCCGGCGGGGCCGAGAGGCCGCGGCAGCTGGCGAACAGGTCGGCCTCGAAGTACTGCTGCTGCTCCTCTCGCCGTCGCTCGGGCGGCCAATTCCCCGTGCATTGCTCGGTTTCGCGCGTGCTTCTTGGGCTCGAGGGTCCAGGATGCTGCTCGATGGCCCTCGCCGAGACAGAGCGCACACGTCCGAGCGATGCCAAGGCTCCTGGATCTGCTCCACCAGACGCGTGAAGGCGTGGTCCAGCTGCAGGGTCTCGGGCGGTGGGCAACTCTCCAGGCAGGCGATGTCCGCCGCCGCCGCGCGCAGAGGCCAGCGGCGTGCGCGCGCAGGGTGCCCCTGACTGTCTCTGGCCCCTCCCGCGGTGCTGGGTCTTTGTTTTGGATCCGCGGCGCTGCGGGTCTCGGCTCCCGCTGCCCCCTCCTCACGTTCTTGCCTCTGCTCCACGTCGTCAAGGCATCATCAGCAGCAAATCATTGTCATTATCATCCTCATCCTCATCCTCATCCTCATCATCCTCATCCTCATCCTCCTCCTCCTCCTCATCATCCTCATCCTCATCATCATCATCATCATCATCATCATCATCATCATCATCATCATCATCATCATCATCATCATCATCATCATCATCATTATCATCATCATCATCATCATCATCATCATCATCCTCATCCTCATCCTCATCCTCATCATCATCATCATCATCCTCATCAGCATCATTATCACCATCATCCTCCTCCTCCTCCTCCTCCTCCTCATCATCATCATCATCATCATCATCATCATTATCATTGTCATCATCATCGTCATCATCATCAGCATCCGAATCATCATCCTTATGCTCATCATCATCATAATCATCAGCAGCGTCACCATCGCCGTCATCAGCATCACCACCACCACCATCATCATCATCATCATCATCAGCATCATCATCATGCTCATCAGCATCATCATCATCAGCATCATCATCACCGTCGTCATCCTCGTCGTCATCATCGACATCAGCATCGTCCTCATCCTCATCATCATCGCCGCTCATCATCATCCTCATTGTCATACTGATCATCGTCCTCATCCTGATCCCCATCATCCGCATAGTCATCAGCATGCTCATCATCGCAAGCATCATCATCAGCAGCATCATCATAATCATCAGCATCATCATCATCATCATCGCCATCATCATCTTCACCATCAGCATCATCATGATCATCATCGCCATGATCATAATTGTGATCGTTACCATTACCAGCATCAGCCTGATCATCCTCCTCATCTGTATCATCATCCTTCTCCTCATCATCATCCCAATCAACATAATCATCATCATCAGCATCGTCATCATCAGCATCACAATCACCACCATCATGATCATCGCCATCACCACCACCATCGTCAACATCAGCATCATCACCAGCAGCGTCGTCAACATCATCACCGTCACCATCACCACCACCACCATCATCACAACCATTATGAGCAGAAGCATTAGCATCGTTGTCATCGTCATCATCACCATCATCACCACCTGCATCGTCACCATTATCGTCACCATCGTCGTGTCACCACCAACGACACCACCACAACCACCATCGTAAGCATCAGTATTGCAATAATCATCACCAGCAGCAGCAACAACATCAACATCAGCATCACATACCACCACCACCACCACCACCATTACCACCACCACCACCACCGCTATCACTGTTGCGCCACACCCCTCACACACGGGCCCCGCCCGTTTCGGCACACCAGTTACACGCTTCGTGGACACACAGGGAACACCACCGAATTCACGAGAGGGTGTGGCTGCACAGCGACTTCCGCCCGTTTCGGCACACCCCTCACGCACTTCGTGGCTCCATGCGGAGCTCCACCGAAGGCCCAATTGGCAAGGTTCCGCATACCGTGGAGCTCCACCGACGACCTCAGTGGCAAGGTGTCGCATATTGCCCCCCCGCCCATTTTGGCACGCCTTCGCTCGTTTGACCCTGCAGTTGGTTCCACCGAAGGCCTCAGCTGCAGCGTATCAGATGCAATCCCCTATTGCGGCATACGCCCCACCCGCTTCGCGGCCCCGCGGGGAGCTCCACCGAAGGCCGCAGCAGCAGGGCATCGCCCACGCCCCCCCCTTTCGCGGCGCATCGTCTAGGAGGAGAGGGGCAGCTCCTGCGCTACTCGCAGCTGCTCTGGGTTACTCGCTCGCCAAGGCAAGTCTGCGCCCGCTCCCTGCGGAACAGCAGCTAGGCCCCACGACGCCCCGAGCCGACCGTGCGCTCACGCGTTGGATCAAATCCCTACGCCCTCTGCCTTCCAAGCTGAACACACTGCCAGTCAGATGTTCGGGTAGGATGCTCTGTGGCAGGAGCCCTCCCCCCAGGCGCCTGCCCGAGCGCGGTGGCGGATGCGCGCGGCAGCGAGCCTGGATACGACTTCTGCCGCCGCAGGATGCCCTGAATCCCGGGGCACTCGACGAGGCCGTAGGGCAAGCCCTCGAAGAACTGCGCGCGCTGAGCGAACCTGATCTTCAGCTCCTTCTGCAGGAAACACCCGAACTCCTGTAGAAGCCAACAGGTAAGTTACCGATACCGCTACTCCCTGGGCCTCTCCTGGGGCGCGTTCTGAACAGAATTTCGCAGCAAATGGGCCTCCCAGGAGGCCCCCAAAAGGCGAAAACGAGGCAAGGGTAGCGGTATCGGAATCTTTTCCTCCTCTAACTCCAGCCGCCGGGACGGCTCCGAGCACGCCAGCGCCAGATCACGCCGCGAGACGCCCGTGGGCCGCATGGACGCCCAGCGAGAAACTACCCTCTCGCACGCAGGCGCCATCTGCTCGGCGGCCTGGTAACCGAGCGCGGCACGAAGGGCCTGCAGCATGGCTCTCGAGGCCCTTCGGCTTGGCTCTCGGCTTCGAGGGCGTTCGCTCGGCAGCAGCGGGCGGCCACAGCTGAGAGAGGCGTCCTGTCTCGAGGCCAGAGCCGCTGGCTACGGACACCTGTGCGGCTACTCGCTGCAAGTGCGCGAGGTGCAATCATCCCTCTCCGTCAAGAGGCCCGTCGAGACCCGCCCCTGCACTCCGCGCGGGACCCGACCTGATCCCAGCCCGTCGACGACTCGGCTTCGTTCGACCCGACGACACCCACATCCCTCGGCGCGGAGGGGGCGGCCTTCGGATGGGCCACGGGCCCACGGCTTCTCAGAAGCTGGAGGCCTTCCAAATGGGGTCCGAGCAGATGGGGTCGGAGTATCGCGCCGCATCTCCGATGCAACGGCAATGCATCGGTGATGCATCGGCGGCGTCGGCGGTGCAATGGCGACGCCGGCGTGGAGAACATCAGGCTCCTCATCGAGCCACAGCGGCGATGCATCGGCGATGCGGCGCCATCCTGCGACCCCATCTACTCTGACCCCACTGTGGGGACCTGGAGAAGTCGCACCTCGCCTTCTGAGAACTAAGTCGAAGCTACAGTCAACCTGGATAGTAAGGATGCGCGAGAAGGATGCAAGGGCCTTGGATGCCCACTTCGAAGCGTTTCGAGCGGGGCGCGGCCAATGGAAGTGTCCAAGGATGGACCCAGGAGGCGAGGATGCAGGGGTATCCTTGGGAGGGATGCCCATCCTTACTGTGCGGGTCGACTGCAGGACGAGAGGAGCACATCGGGCGAGGCCAAATCGCGAACCTCTGAAGACCCCGCGGCTCTGGAGTTACCAGCCTGGAACATATCCCCATCCCTACGCTGGGCATCTCCTCATCACGATGCCAATCTTAGGGACTCCCTTATTTGTTGAAGGCGAATCCCTAAGACTGTCATCGCCTTTTGGCGTGCCAATTTTAGGGATAGGGATAAGTTCGAGGCTGGTAACGGAGGACGCCTCGGGCGCCGCGGCCTCCTCGGAGCGCTGTGGCACGCTCTGCGCGCGCTCCCGGAGCGTTGTGGAACGGGATCCTCCCTGTCCCGGGCAGGAGGAGGAGGAGGAGGAGGAGGAGGAGGAGGAGGAGGAGGAGGAGGAGGAGGAGGAGGAGGAGGAGGAGGAGGAGGAGGAGAGGAGGGAGGGAGGGGGAGGGAGGAGGAGGAGGAGGGAGGAGGAGGGAGGAGGGAGGGAGGAGGGCCGTCCGAAGGACCCTTCCTCGAGAGACCTCCGATCCCTTCCTGTCGGGCGTGGCCCCTGGCCGACCCTCTTCGTGACGAGCCCCGTCCGCGAGGGGTCGAGCGGGGGATCGGCGACATAGTGGATCTACCCCAGAGCGGATTGGTTCGCCGAACCCACGAGATACGCGCAGAATGTTCGCAGATCCACGAACACTCTGCGCACGACTCGACGAGGAAATCTATTCTAGGGTCAGTCATTTCTGTGGTCGATCCCCTACTCGAAAGGGCACCTCGCCCTCGAGGCTCCCCATGGGGCCGCCTGCCTCTGTCTTAATGGGGCGAGGCGAGGGCGTCGTTGTGTACGACAGGGGGCTGGCTCGTCATGGGCCGGCCAGGCGGCCACTGACTCCAAGAGTCGAGTACGGCCACTGACTCCAAGAGTCGAGTACAACGGGAGCTCGACCACAAGAAGCCTTCCACAGGAAACCCAACCCTGAGACCCCAGGCCAGTTTCTTGATTTCTGGTGTGGGAGCGTCACGCTTTCCATCGCAAAATCATCGAAGCCCAAGAAGCCCAGGGTACCCTGGAGGCAAGCAGGGTGTGTTCTTGGCATGGGCTTCCACAGTAGGGGATCGACTACAGAATTGACTGAGGCCAAACTTGAAACTTTCATCGCATCTACGAGAACAGTGCGCCGAATGGATGCAGATCTACGAGCATTCGACGTACATGCTTCGCAGATTCCATAAGGAAACCAATTCTTGGGGTACGTAGATCACTTCTGTCGTCGATCCCCCACTCGAGAGACTCGCCCTGCCTTCTATGACGGGTCTGGCCCTGCCGTCTCGGAGGCCCCTGGAGCGCTCCTGTTCGGCGGCCCTCGCTGCCCCCCTCACTCATTCGGGGGAAAACAAACCTGCCTCGCTTTTGACCACCCTCGCTTCCAAGAGATACCGAGCGATGCCAGACTGCGGCCCGTACTGGTCAGGCCGCCTGACGAGGAGGCGCGTGGTAGGACTTGGTGTGTTCCTGGAAGCGACAGCGGGGGAGGTAAGTCACGCTCTGACTCGTGCACCGCCCACCCGCTGCGCGCCCTCCGGGGGGAGCCCGCGCTGGGCTCCAGGGAACACCCTGGCCCTCCGAGACGGGCCCGGCCCTGCCGACTCGGATGCCGCCCGGCGGGCGACGAGACCTGCACAGACACACACACACACACACACACACACACACACGCACACACAGACACACACACACAGACACAAACACACACTCACATACATACATACCTACCTACCTACCTACCTACCTACCTACATACAGACAGACAGACAGACAGACAGACAGACCTATATATATATATATACATGCATGCATGCATGCATGCAAGCATGCATGCATACGTGCATACATACATGCATGCATGCATGCATGCATGCATGCATACATACATGCATACATACATACATACATACATACATACATACGTACACGCATACATACATACATGCATGCATGTATGCATACATACAAACATGCATGACTGCGTACATGCATGCATGCATGCATGCATACATGCATACATACATACATACATACACACATACACGCATACAAACATACATACATACATACACATAAACATACATAAACATGCATACATATATACATACATACATACATACATACATGCATGCATGCATGCATGCATGCATGCATGCATGCATGCATGCATGCATATCTACACACATACATACATACATGCATGCAAACATACATACATACACACATACACGCACGCACGCATGCATGCATGCATGCATACAACCATACAAACATACATACATACATACATACATACATACATACATACGTACGTACATGCATACACACATACATGCAGACATACATACATATACATATGTGTGTATATATATATATATATATATATATACATCCACCGCGTCAACGCCCGCCCCCCCCCCCCGCTCCGGCTTGGATTGGGACGCGCATGCGCTGAAGGGGCCCAGGGACACACAAGCAAATGCACACACATCCCAGGAGTCCCCATATTCTTAAATATTTTCTGGATTTCCGTATTCCCCCCCCACGTCCGATATTTGTCCCATCGCTGTGTGTGTGTTCCCCTCCTGAATACCGTCGAACCAAGGCCAGAAGAACGCCCTCCAAGAACGCGAAGACCCTCCGCCGGGCAAAACACACAAAGCATCCAATGGTACCCTCCCAAGAGTGCACGAGAGCAAGCAAGCGAAACGCCGATGTACGCCCCAGGGAGGCGGCCCTCTGAGAGCTCGGCGGGAGCGCCGGAATGCCGAAACTCAGAGGTCGTGATACACGATTGCTTCAAGATCCGGGATTTGCATCATTGACCCCATGGAGACAATCCTCCCAGTCAGTTTGCTAGTGGAACGTCGTGCAACAGGAGGGAGGAGAGTGTCCACAGTGACACGGGTGCCAGGTTTTTTGAATTCATTCTAAAACCCCCAGGTATTACTCAAGACCGGGTTTTCACAGACACGATGCTTAGTTCTATATGTGCCAGCCTTCATGCAGCCGCGGAGTCACGGGGGGGTTCTCTCGCCAGAGTCTTGTTCCCTGCTCCGCAGCCTTTTTCAGGGTTCAGTCTGAGTCCGCCAGAGGACGATAACGTTACTGAGCTTCGCCCAGCGCTTGAGAAAAGCTCTACTCAGAGAGTGGAACGTCGTGCAAGAACATCCAGCAAGCAAGAGAGAGCATCAGGGCACCCTCCCCCTCCCCGAACCGCACTCCATCTCTCGTACCTCGACCCGACGGCACACGCCACTTCCGGGCCCAGGAGGTGGGCCTGACCAGGGGGCTCGCAATCAGTGGGCCCTGGAAACGACAGGGTTTGTACCGGTGCCGTTTTGCCGTGTTTGTTGCCGGTTCCGACGCCTTTTTTTGACCGGCTGCGGCTCCGGTTCCAATCCTGGAGCCGTTTTTTGCCGTTTCCGGTCGCCGTTTTTTTGCCGTTTCCATTTTCAAGGGACATTTTTGGGGAAACGGTGCAAAAACGGCCCTGCCGTTTCCGGGACCCAGAAAAGGGGTCGCACATGTGCAGAGACGAAGCCAGGACGAGGACAGAATCGGGTATATAAAGATAAGAATAGAGAATCTCTAATATAATCGGGTAATCAAGATAGAGCCGGGGCAATGCGGCGCCATCCTCCGACCCCGTCCGCACTGACTCCACTCGGGGGGCCTGGAGAAGTCGCCCCTCGCCTTCCGAGAACTGAGACGAAGCTAGGACGAGAGGATGCCATCGGGCGAGGCTACATCGCGAACCTCTGAAGACCCCGCTGCTCTGGAGCTACCAGCCTGGAACATATCCCCATCCCTATGCTGGGCATCTCCTCATCACGATGCCAATCTTAGGGATTCCCTTATTCTTTGAAGGCGGATCCCTAAGACTGTCATCGTCTTTTGGCGTGTCAACCTTAGGGATAGGGATAAGTTCGAGGCTGGTAATGGAGGATGCCTCGGGTGACGAACGAACAACACACACACCCATACCCATAGGGAGGTCGTTGGGAGGAGGACTGGCTATGGGTATGGGTGCGGGTTGTCGGACCCTGGGGAACGCTCCCATTCGAGCGGGGACCCCCATCCGACAACAAGCACCCGTAGCCCTCTCCAATCCCCCAATGGGTATGGGTGTGTGCTGTTGGTACGTCATCAGGCGCCGCGGCCTGCTCGGAGCGTCCGGGAACGCTCCGAGAGCGATCCGGAGCGCCCTGGGGCGCTCCGGGCGGGCCGCCGTTGTCTCGGCCGGCCCCCCTCCGAGTCTCGGAAGGGGCCCTCCTCCGAGGCTCGGAGGGGCCCGTCGCCCCGCGTCGAGGAGGGGGCCCTGGGACACACAAATATAACTACACACAAATGGCAGGATTCCCCATCGTTTCCGATATTTTCTGGGTTCTTGTCTTCCCCCCCATGCCCATAGTCTCCCATCTTTTCTGAGGAATCGAGGATGAATTGTGTCTGTGTGTTGTTTCCCCTTCTGAGCGTTGGCGGCGCGCACCTGAGGGTGGGTGGAGGGAGGGGGCAAGGCTTCTTAGGAGGCTGCTTCCTAGAATCAAGTCGGGCGTGTCCCCCTACAGGGAGATCTTGGGTGAAAAATTAAACACACGCAGAAAATACTTCCAAAAGTGTTCAGAAACGGTCAGAAAATCATCCCCAGACTATTTTTTTCTATTTTTGAATATCCCTCCTGAAGAGGGACAGGCCCGACTTAAAGCTGGTGTTGGCGGCGCGCACCCGAAGGTGGGTGGAGGGAGGGGGCAAGGCTTCTTGGCAGGAGGCTGCTTCCTGGAAGGCGCCAGCATGACAGCCGTAGATGAGGCCCGCGCCTTCTCAGAAGCAGGGGGGCTTCTATCGGCGGTGGACAAACCTCCCTTCAATGAAAACGGCCTGGGACCGCAACCGACGGACCTGGACCCGCAACCATGATTGCCCGGACGCCCTCTCGCGAACCGAAACCGGCCAATTCGCTAATCGACGCGTCAGGGTAGGAGGTCTATCAACCTCCGCTTCTAAGAAGCCTCCCCCCACCCATCTGCGCGTGGCTCATGGTGTGGGGTGGGGGTGGGGGGGGGCATTGGCGGGGCTACGCGGCAGCGGCCGAGAGGCGAGCGGGGGCGGCGGTGGCCACCCGTGCCCAGCGAGAGCCGGAGAGGACGGGCGCCCCTCTTGGGTCGACTGGGCGGTGGGGGGGCTCAGCAAGGCGCCTCTACAGTGGGGGCAGTACTTATATCCATATCCAGAGCGTCGTGGACTTTTTGGGAAGAGGTGCCGCAACGCCGAGGCGCACTGGATATGGTTAAAAAATCAAGCCTCTTGGGGCCAGACCTTTATCCATATCCAGTGCGCCTACGGTTTCTGGGGAAGAGAGCCCAAGACCCCAAGACGCACTGGATGTGGATGTAACTATTGCCCGCATCTAGGCGGCGAGCCAGGGGGGGGAAGTGAGAAGGCTCGGAAGTCGCCCGGACGTCTGAGAAGCTTTCCAGGCCTGCCCCGAAGACACAGAAAGACTCCCAGAAGGCGCGGGGGCTTCTGAGAAGCCCCGCCACCTTCTGAGAAGGTCTTCTCCTTCTCACTTCTAAAACAGGGCTAGGATCGGGATAAATCGCTCCAGAGCGTTCCGGAGCGCTCTCAGAGCGTTCCGGAACGCTCTGGAGCGGCCGCGGCGCCCAATACATCCTCCAAACCCGCCGATTCTCAGAGATTTCGAGTTATCCCGATCCGATTTTGTCCCGATCTTCGCGTCGTTTTAAC